TCATGAGAGCATTTTTTCTTCTTTCGTCTTTCTGATGATTTATTAAAAGAGCCAACCTCATCGCTGCTCGCACATACTCACAGGCGACCGAGGCTCACTGAAAGAAAACGGATGTTTTTTACTCTCCGTGAGCGAAATGCTATATGCGAAACGAAAAGCGATGCTTTACATGTGAAAGCAAACAGTTACACAACATTTAGCGAAACGTGACCCTCGTCTCCCAGCGTAAGGAAGTGTTGTGTTGGAAAGTTTTTATTTCATGAAGGCATTTACGAGGAAAAACGAATTCGTAATGTTCCATTATTTTCTCTTCATAATCATTAAAACATATTCAACTATTGCCTTTTATATTCTTAACGTATAGTGCGGAGCATGTTTTCATTGAATTGCTTATTATTCCTTATTATTGTTCTGTATAGAATGCCATAGCCTGTTCCAGAAGGTCAGTTTGTGTGAACAAGCAAGAAACAAAAAAAGGAGATGTTAAGACGTTCACAGCGGTAGCTGTATTTACGATAAGCTGATGTACAACGACAGCAGAACAAAGTAAGGAAGGAAGTTGGGAAAGACTTGACATTTTTCCGTCCTCCTTACCGACCGGACAGATATCACTGAGACTGAAATGTTTTGCATGAGCCACTATTATATTATGCAGATGTAAAGATGTTTCAAACGCTTTACATTGGACATTGATCTGAATTTTGTATTCATGTAACACCCTCAAAACCGAACGCAAGTAAAAGCATAAATTTTGAAGTGAGGACCTCGAATTAAGGACACTTGAAAAACGCACTTGAGACAAGGCAGGTTTTGCACTAAAATCAGCATCGGGGAACGAGGAATGGGGAACGGGGAACGAGAAACGGGTTTACACCGGTAATCCACGTAAGAATTCAAAATAGCAGATGACAAGACGAAGAAAAGGGCCTGAGCACCAGTTTTGAGCATTCGCTCTTTCAACTCGGACGTCGGAGTAAACAGCATGGCCGGTAAGTCAAGACAAGAGTTTTTAACTTGAATTCTTTTGTGGATTACTGCTGTACACCTCACTTGCAGAACTGAGGTTGTTGTTCGCTTCTTTAACATTTCTGTCTCCAATATTTTTGGTTACGTTATGCTATCAGCTCTAATTTTCATAACAGCCGGAGAGCAATACAGTATAGTAAAAAAGGACACTGGAAACTCCAATGACAATAGACTCCGCGCTGGTAAAAATTTCAAAGCCATCAAAACAGTTGGACTCGTTTTGAGTATTTGTTTTGTCACGTGGATGCCCTATTTAATCCTGACTATTGTTAGTTGTTATAATCTTACCACAGAGTGTAGACGAGGAGATTCAAAGAGACCGATTCCGGTTGCAAGGACTTGGGTTAGAGCAACCGCACTGACTTCATCAGCATTCAATCCATCGATATACACTTCCGAAAGGGCGAGTTTCAACAAGCTTTTCGCCGGTCTTTTCACTGGCTGCCCGGTCTCCAACAGATCTAAGGCAAGGGCGACATCTACTGGAACTTAGAGACAAAAAGTTTACCGTTTCATTGTACTTCTCAAAAGGTCTGATATGCACATAAAAGGTTGAAGTTTCAATCAAGTCAAATTTGGATTGATGATCCTTCCATTAAGTACATTTAAGCTTGTAAATTTGAAATAAACAAGACATGTTAACTATTTGTGTCTTTCTTTTTTCTGAATATAGCAGCTCTTTAAAATGCGACGGACTCCCCCGCCGTCTGAGTTTGCTTAACTTGCGTATTTCTATATATATATATAGTAATATATGACTTTCATATATTCTTAACCATTTGCGTATTACTCGTGGCATGCATTGTATCACAGACTATTTTAAGATCAACTTTTAATTCGAAACCTGACACATTTATCCCATCAGTTATTTGAATTAGGTTAACATTTGGTTCATTTACATTCAAGCTAGAACTCCCTGAGCAGGTCAACGCGTGTGACCACCTGTGAGATTAGCATGAAATAGAGGTTTTTAACTCAAATACATTTTAGTTTTTCTGAGTTGCTGCTTTGCGTTTTCTCTTACACCTATAGTCACCAAAGCAGCTGTATCTCGGGAGGAAACGTTTATTAATTCTCACTAAACTTCGGCAAAAAGATTGAGATCTAGCTGTTTTACATTGATGCGCTGAAGAGGATAACAAAACAATTTCCGAGTTTCAAAGCATGTTTTCAAAAATTTGGGGATATTTTTAATTTCGTGCGCACCTTTCCTCAAACAGACGGCAGATGAATAAGGTTTGCCTGTCAATAAAATGCATATTGGAAAGAAAACTTTTGAATAATCCTATGCAAAAAAAGGTAGAAAAATCATCGCAGTAACATCTGTTCCTTGACGAGGGAAGGCAAATCAAAATTACCGTCGATTTTCAGACTTATTTCTCGACTTCTGTAGTTGCTTTGCACCAACTTAACATAGAAGTTAAGTGCACGGAGGAACATCACAGCAATGCAGCACCCATTGTACTGTCAGTGTGGTTCTTCTTGTCTAGGTTAGCCGCTGTAACGTTGTGTTATGGCTGTTCTACAAACACGAGTCTTTACGAAAAATTTTAAACCGATTTTTAGCCTCGTTATCCATTGCGGACGTTTTTTTCGGCCTTGTCATAGATCCTGTTTGGATCGTTATCATAAGTTGGATTCAGCCAGAATTTCCTAATTGTTTAATATTACTATAATGCTGTGGATTCATACAACCGCAGCCACTACTTTGAACTCGTGCTGTGTTTCAATCGACCGTTTTATTGCGATTCAGCTTCCTTTCCGTTATCAGGACAGTTTAACCAAGAGAAGATGCTTTGCAGTAATTATTTTGGTGTGGTTTATCTCATTGAGTCTTCCTTTTCTGATGTTCTCTTGAGTGGGAATGGGTAAAAAAGATCTTTTTGCGTCTATTGCATTTACAATATGTTTAGTTCCATTATTAGTGGTCTGCTTTTGCTATATACTCATTTTCAAATTGGCCAGGAAACAGTTAAGAATAATTTTATTAGCTAAAAATATTCCTGACTCAGGCGAAAATGTAAGAGTTCGTGTCAGGCAAAATTTTAAAGCTATTAAAACGCTCGGTTTTGTTTTAAGTGCTTGCATCGTCACATGAATGCCCAGTGTAGTTCTGCAGTTGGTTAATTTTTATTATATGCAAGAAAAATGTAGAATTAGAAAAATTAAATCAGTTGTATGGCCTTGGGTTCAAGCGATCGCTTTTTCTTCGTCAGCGATCAACCCATTGATTTACTACCTCAGAAATAGCGACTTTCGCCGAGCCTTTCGCCGCACCTTCCATTGGTTGCCCTGTGTTCACGAACAAGATGCATCACACCTTAGAGCACGACCGGACGAAACCGGTTGAATTGAAAAGTTGGAACTTGTGGCAACTTAACAGCTAAGGAGACAGAAGTCTGAGGACAATATATTCAAGCGAAAAAAGACCTTGCTTACGAACAAGCCTGAGCCTAGAAACCACATAAAAAGTTCATGTTTAAACGAAAGCCTTAGTTTTTAAAATGTTAGTTTATATATAATAAAAATGCAATTTCTTTGACGTGTTAAACAACTCTTTCAAGGCATGAAATTTCATTCCCGTCAAATTTCCATCACCGAGCATTAATTTCTATAATACTAGCAAGATGTGCGAAGAACACTCTTTTGTAATAAAAATTCAGACACTTTTGATCTACAGAATAAAGAGGAGAAAGAAGACCAGTCGATTCTGTGATCCTCCGAAAATTGCAATATTCACTCTCAAACTACCTTTTTTATTTTTTCATTTATTTATTTATTCGTAATTTTATTATGATGATGTTTGCCAGTGGGAACTTCCTTTCAGGGCTAGAATCACACTTTGAAGATTTCATATGGCTGTGCGCCATTTCCACCGAGCGCGTCACCGCTTTAGCGGTGTTTTGACTGACTAACTCATTAGGATTTCTCTCCATAGCTGCTTGCGAACATTTTTCAAATTGATCGGAGGGGAATGTTTCCTTGTTTCGTCTTTTTGATGAATAGGGTAAAAAAAAATGTTATTTAAGGAACCAATCTCACCGCTAATCGCATATACTCACAGGCGACCGAGTCTCACTTAAAGAAAACGGATATTTTTTATTTTCCGTGAGCAATAGGCCATATGTGAAGCAAAAAGCGACGCGTTACATGTGCAAGTAAACAGTTACACAACATTTATAACGCATAGTGCGAAATATGTTTTTATTAGATTGCTTTTAAATTCCTTTTATTCTTATGCAAAGAATGTCATAGTCTTTTCCAGACATTTAGTTTCTAGAAGCGAGCAGAAAAAAAAAGTAGATATAATTACGATAAACTGATGTACACCGACAGTAAACAAAGTAAAAAACGACATTGGGAAATACTTAAACTTTTTCTGTTCTCCATACTGAACGCACAAATATCACTGAGACTGAAATGTTTTGCATGAGTCACCATCACATTATACAGTTGTTCAAGACAGAGCTATATTCATTTCACACCCTAAAAGCCGAACGCAAGTAGAAACAAAATTTTTAAACAAGGACCGTGAATGAAGGAAGTTTATGGTGGGCAGCGGACAGTACTCATAAGGGTTAACATGACAAAGCAAATGATTCTAGATTTAAACCATTTGGGACATTTTTCAGTTTTCGGTATGAATCTAAAAAAAAAAAAAAAAAAAAAAAAATGAATAGCGCTAGCCATACTAGAGAGTATTTATTTTTGGAATGAAACTGAAGCATTTCCATATCTGAAGCATATATTTCTAATTTAATGCACACCTTTCCTCAAACAGACGGCAGATGAATAAGGTGTGCCTGTCAATAAAATGCATATTGAAAAGAAAACTTTTGAATAATCCTATGCAAAAGAAGGAAGAAAAAGCATCGCAGTAACATCTGTTCCTTGACGAGGGAAGGCAAATCAAAATTACCGTCAGTTTTCAGACTTATTTCTCGACTTCTGCGGTTGCTTTGCACCAACTTCACATGGCAGTTAATTGCACGGAGGAACATCTCAGCAATGCAGCGTCCATTGTACTATCAGTGTGGCTCTCCTTGTCTGGTTTAGCCGCTATAACTGGAAATGTCGTTGTGTTATGGCTGTTCTACAAACACGAGTCTTTACGAACAATTTCAAACCGTTTTTTAGCCTCGTTATCCATAGCAGACGTTCTTGTCGGCCTTGTCATAGATCCCGTTTGGATTGTTATCAAATGTTGGATTCAGCCAGAAGTTCATAGCAATTTGTTTATGATTACTAAAATGCTGTGGATTCATACAACCGCAGCCACTACTTTGAACTCGTGCTGTGTTTCAATCGACCGTTTTATTGCGATTCGGTTTCCTTTCCGTTATCAGGACAGTTTAACCAAGAGAAGATGCTTTGCAGTAATTATTTTGGTGTGGCTTATCTCATTGAGTCTTCCTTTTCTGATGTTCGCGAGGGAGGGAATGGATCGAAAGGAACTTTTTGTGTCCATTACAATTACAATATGTTTAGTTCCATTATTAGTGGTCTCCTTTTGCTACATACTCATTTTCAAATTAGCCAGAAAACAGTTTAGGAGAATTTTAGAAACTACAAATATTCCTAACTCAGGCGAAAATATGAGAGTTCGGGTCATGCAAAATTTTAAAGCTATCAAAACAGTCGGTTTTGTTTTAAGTGCCTACATCATCACATGGATGCCCAGTGTAGTTCTGCAGTTGGTTAATTTTTATTATATCGAAGAAAACCGTGATGGACTTTGTAAGGTTAAATTTGTTGTATGGCCTTGGGTTGAGGCAATCGCTTTTACTTCATCAGCGATCAACCCATTGATTTACTATCTCAGAAATAGCGACTTTCGCCGAGCTTTTCGCCGCACCTTCCATTGGTTGCCCTGTGTTCACGAACAAGGTGCATCACACCTTAGAGCACAACCAGAACGAAACCGGTTGAATCGAAATATTGGAGCTTGTGGCAACTTAACAGCTAAGGAGACAGAAGTCTGAGGACAATATATTCAAGAGAAAAAAGACTCTGCTTACGAACAAGCCTGAGCCTAGAAACCACATAAAAAGTTCATGTTTAAACGAAAGCCTTAGTTTTTACGTGTACTCTACAAATAGTCCTTTTCCTTAAAAAATGTTAGTTTATATATAATAAAAATGCAATTTCTTTGACGTGTTAAACAACTCTTTCAAGGCATGAAATGTCATTCCCGTCAAATTTCCATCACCGAGCATTATTTTCTATGATACTAGCAAGATATACGAAGAACGCTATTTTGTAGTAAAAATTTAGACAGTTTTGATCTACAGAACTGGGAGGAGAAAGAAGGCCAGCTGAATCTGTGATCCTGCGAGAATTGAAATATCCACTCTCAAACTACCTTATTTACTTTGTCATTAATTTATTTAATCGTAATTTTACTACGATGGTGTTTCCAGCGGGAATTGCCTTTTGGCTAGAATTTTATGTGGTTGCGCGTCATTTTCCCCGCGCGCGTCACCGCTTGAGCGGTGTTTTGCCTGACTTCCTCATAAGGAGTTTCTCTCGTACAGCTGCTTACGAATCCTTACGATAAAATAGGTCTATTCCCTATTTGCAGTCCACAGATTCCCTCCTCGAAGATCTTTGCATGGCACTTTATCCTAAACAAATAGGAATGAACGTAAAGGAATGGTGAATAAAGCACTGACTTACTAAGGTTGCCTCACGGCGCCGGTTGGTAGCTGGCACATAATGAGGAGAAGGGAAATGATAATTTTAGTGCGGAGGTTTTATAACTCTGCTTCTTGCGCCCGTCGCGTAAGCTGGCTTCCTCTAGTGTCGTGTTCGTTTCCATCGTTCACGGCCACTCCATCAATATCAACGACTCGTATTTTGACTCATTAATAGTGTACTTATTGTCATTACCATTTTCATCTCAGATGACAACATTTTTCAAATTGATCGGAGCTTATTCTCATAAGGGGAATGTTTTCTTGTTTCGTCTTTTTGATGAAAAGGGTAAAAAAAATTGTTATTAAAAGAACCAATCTCACCGCTGTTCGTATACACTCACAGGCGGCCGAGTCTCACTGAAAGAAAACGAATATTTTTTTTACTCTCCGTGAGCAAAAGACTATATGCGAGACGAAAAGCGATGCGTTACATGTGCAAGTAAACAGTTACATAAAATTTTTAATGCATATTGCGAAATATGTTTTCATGAAATTGCTTTTTAATCCTTTTTATTATTATGCAAAGAATGTCGTATTATGTTCCAGACATTTAGTTTCTGGGAACGAGCAGGAAAAAAAAGTAGCCGTATTTACGATAAACTGATGTACACCGACAGTAAACAAAGTAAAAAACGACATTGGGAAATACTTAAACTTTTTCTGTTCTCCATACTGAACGGATAAATATCACTGAAACTGAAATGTTTTGCATGAGTCACCATCACATCATGCAGATCTTCAGGACAGGGCTATAAACGCATTACATCGGGCATTGATATGAATTTTTTTATTCATCTCACACCCTTGAAGCCGAACGCAAGTAGAAACAAAAATTTTGAAGCACAAAACTCATAAACTATTCTGATGTATTTCGGCAGGATTGCGTTACCGCAGGGGAGTCACGAGAATGATTCTGGCTTTACGGAGTATGCGCTGATGAGTGCTTCAGGAAATGCTGAATTTGGCTTGATAATAGCCTGACGTATTACGTACTATTTTAAGATCAACTTTTAATTCGAAACCTGACACATTTATCCCATCAGTTATTTGAATTAGGCTACTAACTTTAATATCCAGCATCAAATTTGAAATTTGGCTTTTAGGTTCAAATTAGAACTCCCTGAGCCAGTCAGTGAGTGTGACCACCTGTGAGATTAACGTGAAATAGAGGTTTTTAACTCAAATATTATTAATTTTTCTGAGCTGCAGTTATGCGTTTTCTTGTGCACCTATTGTCACAAAAGCAGCTGCCTATCGGGAAGACAAGTTTGTTGATACTCACAAAAACTTCGGCAAAAAGATTGAGATCTACCTGTTTTACAATGATGCACTGAAGAGGACAACAAAACGATTTCAGTTTCAAGGCATATTTTCAAAACTTTGGGGATATTTTTAATCTCGTGCGCACCTTTTCTCAAACAGACGGCAGATGAATAAGGTGTGCCTGTCAATAAACTGCATGTTGAAAAGAACAGTTTTGAATAATCCTATGCAAAAAAGGAAGAAAAAGCATCGCAGTAACATCTGTTCCTTGACGAGGGAAGGCAGATCAAAATTAACGACGGTTTTCAGACTTATTTCTCGACTTCTGCGGTTGCTTTGCACCAACTTAACATGAAAGGTAACAGCTCGGAGGAACATCTCAGCACTGCAGCGTCCATTGTTCTGTCAGTGTGGCTCTCCTTGTCTGGTTTAGCCGCTGTAACTGGAAATGTCGTTGTGTTATGGCTGTTCTACAAACACGAGTCTTTACGAACAATTTCAAACCGGTTTTTAGCCTCGTTATCCGTGGCGGACGTTTTTGTCGGCCTCGTCATAGATCCTTATTGGATTGTTATCAGATGTTGGAATTCGCGAAGAGTTCAAAGGAAATTGGTTATGATTACTAAAATGCTGTGGATTCATACAACTGCAGCCACTACTTTAAACTCGTGCTGTGTTTCAATCGACCGTTTTACTGCGATTCGGTTTCCTTTTCGGTATCAGGACATTTTAACCAAGAGGAGATGTTTGGCGGTCATTATTTTGGTGTGGTTCATCTCGCTGAGTCTTTCTTTTCCAATATTGTTCTTTCAACCAGGAAAGGATCGAAAAGGACTTTTTGTGTCCATTACATGTACAATGTTTTTAGCTCCATTATTAGTAGTCTCCTTTTGCTATATAATCATTTTCAAAGTAGCTAGAAAACAGTTTGGGAGAATTTTAGCAGCTAAGAAGCTTCCTGACTCAAGCGAAAATATAAGAGCTCGTGTCACGCAAAATTTGAAAGCTATCAAAACAGTAGGTTTTGTTTTAAGTGCTTGCATCATCACATGGATGCCCAGTGTAGTTCTGCAGTTGGTTAAATTTTATTATATGGAAGAAGAAAAGCGTTGTAGACTAAGGAAACTTACATTTGTCGTATCACCTTGGGTTGAGGCAATCGCTTTTACTTCATCAGCGATCAACCCATTGATTTACTACTTCAGAAATAGCGACTTTCGCCAAGCCTTTCGCCGCACCTTCCATTGGTTGCCCTGTGTTCACGAACAAGATGCATCACACCTAAGAGCACAACCAGAGCGAAACAGGTTGAATCGAAATGTTGGAACTTGTGGCAATTTAACAGCTAAGGAGACAGAAGTCTGAGGACAATATATTCAAGCGAAAAAAGACCTTGCTTAAGAACAAGCCTGAGCCTACAGAAAACACATGAAAAGTTCATGTTCAAACGAAAGCCTTAGTTTTTAAAATGTTAGTTTATATATAATAAAAATGCAATTTCTTTGTCGTTTTAAACAACTCTTTCAAGGCATGAAATTTCATTCCCGTCAAATTTCCATCACAGAGCATTAATTTCTATGATACTAGCAAGATGTACGTATAAGAATATTGAGTAAAGCTTTGACTTATCCAGGTTGCCTCTGGGGTGTAGGTGGCTGGCCCATTATGAAGAGAACGGAAACAATAATTTTAGTACGGAGGTCCAATATTTCGGCTTCTTGCACCAGTCACGCAAGCTGGCTTACTTAAGAGTCGAGTTCGTTTCTATCGTTCACCGCCACTCCATCAACATGAAAGACTCGTATTTTGACTTAGTGTAATTATTATCATTACCATTTTCATCTCAGATGACAACATTTTTCTTTCTGATGAAAAATGTCCAAAAAATTCAGTTTATTAAAAGAACCAACCTCATCGTTGTTCGCATATACTCATAGGCGACCGAGGCTCACTGAAAGAAAACGGACACTTTTTACTCTCCGTGAGCGAAAGGCTATATGCGAAACGAAAAGCGATGCGTCACATGTGCAAGCAAACAGTTACACAACATTTAGCGAAATGTGACTCTCGTCTCCCAGCGTATGGAGGTGTTGTGTTGCAAATTTTTTATTTCATGAAGGCATTTACGATGAAAAACGAATTCGTAATGTCCCATTGTTTTCTCTTCATAATCGCCCAAAACATATTCAACTATTGCCTTTTATATTCTTAACGTATAGAACGGAGCATGTTTTTATTGAATTGGTTATTGTTCCCTATTATTCTTCTGCATAGAATACCATAGCCTGTTTCAATCGGTTAGTTTGTGTGAACGAGCAAGAAACAAAAAAAGGAGATATTAAGAGAGGATGTCAACATCCATCGAACAAATTTGAAATATTGTGGCAAGTCGCCCAAAATTCGTTTTCTCTCCTACTTTTATATATTGTCGCCCAATATGTTCTAATAATTGTAGTGTAGTTTTTTTGCGAAAATATATTTTAGTTTTCGAGAAATGACTTTTTTCGTTCGATCGCTCAAATATGCAAATTTCACCGTGAATATTACCCGAGTTGTGTGACCTCATGTAACGAATGTACTGGACCTACGGTATTTCTGTGAACATGATCCGTTGTTTTATGATTTAAATTAAATCCCCTGTCGTTATTGAAGCTGCCAAGGAAATATTTATTTTTTGGTGAATATTTTTGACCGACATACTTTTCCTATGTCGAAAAGTAGCATCAAAACAAAGGCAGTTTTAACAATGACCGATATGACAAAATCTACTGAGCTTCAAACTTTTAAAAGACCAAAGGATGGTTATAAAGTTACTGTAAAAATGTCCTTGTGTATTTGTGTTGTTCTATCTTGAGACGAACTCAAAGTCCGGCAAAATTTACTTGATAGCGACTATGAATAATTTAACATAATTTATATAGCGCTAACTCCACTAATTGACCAAAGCGCTTTACAATTCGTAATATTAAAATAATTAAAAAGATCCCACTAGTAATAAAATATGAATAAATTAAAAACCTATTTGCAGACTTAATTATAAAAATACCACAGTAAATCCTATTCCAAATTATCAAAAAGTTAAACATTATATGCTTTTTTAAAAAGATCGGTCTTTAAAGGGCATGTAAACCCAAAAACCGTTCATTTTCTTTTCACATAGATATTTAGTAAATATATCAAGTACACCAAAGGTACCATTCGTTTATTCTCAAAAGTCCATTTTCACTTTGTAAAAGCTCTTCCAAATTCGAAACATTCGCCATCTTGAATGGCGCCATCTTTCCTGTGACGTCACGGGTGGACCCTCCAAAGTCTCGTTTTATAATCGCGTGAGGCACGAAGGAGTCTTTTCTACAGCCGTTGTTTGCTGGTCTCGTCATGATTTTTTTACTTACAGTTTGCTTCAATATATTCAATTTTTTCGTAATGGTGAAGCGTTGTGTCGTCCAGTTTTGTACTGATTCAAACAAAACTGGGCATACAATGCAAATATTTCCAAATGGCGCAAATTTGAAGCGACAATTTGTGAAATTTGTTCAAGTGAAAATAGCCGATTTCGTCGAGCCGTTCGAACGTTCTGTTATTTGTAGCAGTCATTTTTCTTCCTGGTGCTGTACCGACGATTCAGGCCTCACCAGAAGCAAATTATTCGGAAGTATAAAAACGACCCATACAGTCGGCAGACGACGAGGATTCGGAAGTGGCCGACCGAACTGAGAAAGAAGTTGAGCTCTTCAGAAGTTAGAGGTCAACAGAGAAAGTACAAAATCGCTTTACATGAAAACGTTTCGTTAATTAAACAACAATAGCTTTATTGGTTCTCTAAAAACATCTTTTTTCTCATCTAATGAAATATTATGAGGAAGCCAGTTGCTCGGGAGCCAGCGCTGAGCCCGTAAAAGACACTGACATGTCTGAACCTTTGCCTGAATTCGAAACACGTATCAAAGAAAGAGAATTCGTTGATATCAGTGTGTAATAACGTGATCTGGAATTTTGTCGGTTCGATACAAAGAATTCTATACAGGATCCCATAATCAACCCTTATGTTCTATAAGAAAATCCAAGCCAGCCCCACTTGGTGCTTCCTTTGAGAAACCCTGCAGAGAAACAGCAGAAGAATTTGTGTCACGGTTTTCACAGCAGTGAAAATACATTCAAAGGTCAGTAGGACAATATTCATCATTTTGAGTACAACTTAAAGGATCCTGATTTCAGCTTGCAAAACTATCTTTTCAATATTTTAAATCGAAGACAATTATGAAGGCCACACGAGGAAATGTATATGATACAACTTGTTTATCGATGGAAATGCTTCTGAGATGAAGGATATTGTTTACCGCACAAGATAGCACAGCGACCCTAAAGTGTTTGCCGAGATATCCCCAACACCAACGAACAAGCTATCTGTAGGCAATTTAGCGAAATTTCCTGCCAGGAAAGAAGCGAAAAACAACTAGCTCTAGTACTGTATTATTAAATCAATGGCAGAAACAACTCAAGTAAATCGATCTCAAAATGTAACAAAACAGATGAAACAGAAAATATTTAGCTTAGTCGTTTCCGGTGTGATTATCTGTGCTTTGTTGCTGCCTGTACGCGTACTTGGCCGTCTCCAGCACCCAGAAATCGAGGCAAATTGACTGAAAACCTGGATGCTCAGTGATACAACTTATCTGGGTTTCAGGCCATTTTGCCACAATTGCCCGATTTCCGTACAACAAACACTTTCATGAGTTGTCGGCATTGGTTGACAAGTTCCACACTCGTACCTTTGATAATTTTATATAAAACACTTTCAGAAGCTCAAGTTAAAAAAAATTCTGTTGCATTCCTTTAGATTGTACCCTCGCTTTATTGCATTTTCATGTTAAATACAAATAAATCACAAAGCTCATATTGTTAAGGACGTGGCCCAGACTCTCCTGAAGATTCTGGATTATCCCCAGCGCTGTCATGTACTAAGCTTAAGGCATTCGAGTCGCTATCTTCTGAAAAAACATCTTCCGAACAACCGCTACTTACACGAACTCCCACACCAGTTCTACTGGGGAATATGTGTTGTGCAATATTTTGGTTCCACCGCTTACGTCGCGACTTCTCGCTATTGTTTTTACCGGAAATGGAATTTCAGTTGAAAATGCCGATTTTCTCCTAAAATAAGTCGAATTGGACAAAATTAATTTCAAATTCGTTTTCTACGCCACTTTTTACATAGTATAAGAAAAACATGCATTTTTTGGTTTACATGCCCTTTAAGTGTTTCTTGAATAAATTAATTGTATCTAAACTTCTAAGATCTAATGGCAGCTCATTCCAGAGTTTAGGTGCAGCAACGGAAAAGGCCCTGTCTCCGTATGTTTTAAGTCTTGACTTCGGAACTGCCAGAAATTTTTGATCAGTAGAGCGTAGCGTACGTGAACATGTACGATAACTAAGTAATTCCGTGATATATAATGGTGCCATACCATTTAGGGCCTTATAAACTAACAACAAAACTTTAAAAAGAATCCGAAAGTGAACCGGTAACCAATGCAGTTGAATCAATACAGGGGTGATATGATCAAATTTCTTGGTTAAGGTAACGATACGAGCAGCCGTGTTTTGCACAGACTGCAAACTACTTATCATATGCTTAGGGAGGCCATACAATAAAGAGTTACAATAATCTAGTTTTGAACTAACAAATGCATGAACAAGAATTTCCGTAGTTTCCTCAGTGAGGTACTTCCTAATTTTAGAAATGTTCCTTAAGTGGTAGTACGACGTTTTGCAGATCTTATTTACATGTTCCACCATATTACAGCATTCGTCAAATATGACACCGAGATTCCTAGCTGAAGATTTGGGGAGTATTTGTTCATCACCAACTGACACATATGAAATGACAGGCTTTGGGCGGAATTTTGAACTAATTACAATCAGTTCAGTTTTCTCCTGATTGAGCTTTAGCATGTTGTTTGTCATCCACCAGTCAATATCTTTGACACATAGCTCATCAAATGACTTAGCTTGAGCGAGGTCAGCAAAACAGTCAGTTTTAAAAGAAATGTAAAGTTGAGAATCATCAGCACACAAATGGTACTGTAGACTACGAAAATTGAACATAGTGAAATACATGGTGCGCCTAGTTGTCGCCACCGTTAATTGGCATAAATCACTACAATTTGTAAAAAAGTCTAACATAACACTCTTACCTTGTTTATTTATGATTTTATTAGCCGCTTCGATTATTATATTACGTCTGGGTATTACTTTTTGACAGGAGCTCAGGTTTTGCGTTGTGTTTTCCCCTCCCTCATTTACATCATAAGCTAGTCACGCAATAGTTGATACCGACACAAGTGAATATTTACCATTTATAA